TCCAGAAGCTGGCGACTGATCTGCCTCGCCCGGGAAGAGCGCAGTGATGGTGCCAACTTGGGCCAGTGAAGCAACATCCTCCACAACTAGACTGAAGAACCAAACGACAGCAACTTGTCTGTTCCCCTTCCCTCAATTCCCCAATAAAATTTTTTTTTAAAAAAGTACAAATTCATTATTAGAAAGTAGTCATGGGGATGTAGGATATAGCATAAGGAATATAGTTAGTAATATTGTAATAACTATATATGGTGTCAAATGGGTACTAGATTTATTGGGGTGATAGATGAAAAGGGGGTTGGTGGCAGGGTGAAAAAGGTGAAGGGATTAAGAAAGACAAATTGGAAGTTACAAAATAGTCATGGGGATGTAAAGTAAAGCATAAGGAATATAGTCAATAATATGGTAATAATAACTATGTATAGTGCCAGGTGGGTACTAGACTAGTCAGGGGGATCACTGCATAAATTATATAAATGTCTAACCACTATATTGTATACCTGGAACTAATATAAAATAATATTGAATGTTAACTGTAATTGAAAAATTAAAAAAGGAGGGGGGAAGGTGAAGGGGAATAAGGTCCAAATTTCTAGGTATAAAACAAATAAGTCATGGGGATGTAATATATGGCATGGGGAATATAGTCAATAATATTGTGATAGCATAGTACAGTGTCAGATGGTTGCTGGACTTATGGTGATCGCTTCTTAAGGTACATAAATGTTGAATAACCATGGTGTACACCTGAAACAAATATAATATTGTATGTTAGCTATATTTGTAAATAAAAATCTTAGAAAAAAGAGCCAGTGGTAGTGAAGGGCCTGTGCTGGGGGTCAGGGCTTAGTAGTATCTCCCTGGCTAGGGCCGGTGGTGACCCCATCCAGACTAACTGCAGTCAGCCTGCAGGCAGCTGACCCCCGCCCCCCCGCCCCCCCCTCAGGTGTGGGGCTGATCCTCCCATCCCACCTCTCCTCCATCAGCTGCATCACATTTTCCACTGAAACACACAGTCTCTGGATGTGGGACATCAGCCATGTGGTGCTCACATAGCATGAAGAATAGTGACCTGTCTCAGGGGCAGTGAGTCTGGAGCCTGCTGCCCCTGTCACCCACCTGCCTCTGCTCTGAGGCCATGGTGACAAGTAGGGACTATCTCTCCACTGAATGAATTTCTGCCCCCAGAGTCCTTTTCCTCCTCACCTCACACAACCCGCCCTGTTCCTCTGCAGCCAGGGTTGGGGACCACTGAGGAGAGCTCTGGTTGGCTGGCATGTTGCCACTGGGCCTTAGCCCTTGGACTCTCTTGCCGACAACTCTGCTCTTCCTGGGAGCTTGAAGCCAGAGGGCACCAGTGGACTCAGCCAGAGCCTCTGGGGCCGGAGGGAAGGTCCTGCAGCTTTCACTATGGGGCCTGGTCCAGGGACTCTGCCGAGGCTCCAAGAAACCCTGGAAAGACAATGTCCACATGGTCAGTCACTCCACACTCATCCCAGAAATGCTTTCTGGGAACCACGGTGTGGCTCACTGTGATGGATACTGTGGAAGAGTTAAGTTCAGCAAAACCAACAGCAAGTATTAGTGCAGAATGTGGAAAAACTCATGAGATTTGGTGTCAAACGAATGAGAATTTGAATTCCAGCTCTTCTGAGTTCTAGCTAGAATCTGGGGAAGTCACTTTAACCTGAGTTCTTTATCTTAAAACTGAGGATGAAAATACCCATCTCATAGGGTTGTTAAAGTTAAATGAAGTGATGCTTCTAAAGCACTCACTCCTACTTGGCACCTAGAACACATTCAATTAATATTAAATATTGCTATTATTACAAGATACAAGGCATATTTTACTAAGTACCTCATTTAATTTTCACATTCATCCTGTGAGCTTGTTATTAGTATTATTGTTATTATTCCCATTTACCATCAGATAGAGCTGCTCAGAAATACTAGCATATTTGCCCCAAGATCACTCAGATTAGGGAGAAGGACAGATATTCAAACCCAGGTATGACTGGCCACAAAGTGCCTTTTCTTAACTACTGTGCCATATGGAATTCTACATATGGAAGAGACATAATAAACATTATTCCTCTTTCTTGCTGCCTTCAAAGTGCACCGGCTGAGGGGTGAGTATGTTACATGTGCATAAACCACCTTCTGTATAATTCAGTATACATTCTGGGCAACTTATAGAGCCCACCCTCTTCTGCCAAAGATGGAAACATAAACTCATTGCCTGACACTCTCCCCCAAATTCCCATCTGGGCCCTGAAAACCAGCATGTATGCACAGACTCCTAAATCATTAACTGACACTGTCTGACAAAACAGTGGTGCCATCAACAGGTTTCCATAGGCTCCTCAAATAATCAATAACATAGGCAATACACCCTCAATAGAAAATCAACCATGGATCTGCTTAACATACCTTGGGGGCCAAACCGGACCACGTATAGGACCTCATAACTCACAGCCCATATATAAAATCAGTGACTCCCATAAAACCTGCAATAATGGACCTTCTGATCCATCACATTCCAACTTACACAGTTCTGCAATTACCGATGTTCACAGGTCCCAATCAATGACTCCTACAGACCCCCAAAATTAATTCCCAAAGACTGGCAATCCCAGGCTTGCAATTGATCATTCACCACCTCAGTGTCCCAATCAATAACTCTCATGGACTAATCAATGACTTCAGATACTTACATCTCCAACTCTTATTAAACTTCAAGAATTTCTAGGGGCTAGCCAAGTGGCTCAGTTGGTTAAGAGCATGAGCTCTGAGCAACAGGGTTGCCGGTTCGATTCCAAAATGGGCCAGTGAGCTGCGACCTCCCACATGGGCCAGTGAGCTGTGACCGAGCTGAGCTGCTCTGAGCTGCCGACGGGCAGCCGGATGGCGACTGGACTTGGAGCTGAGCTAGCTGCGCCCTCCGCAACTAAGATTGAAGGACAACAACTTAACAACTTGGCTATTCCCCTTCCCCAATTCCCCAATAAAAAAAATAAATTAAAAAAAATTTTCTAGAGGTCCCAATCACTTATGCACAGATGTCTCCAATTATTTTCCTTCAAGGATTCCCCATGACTGTCACTCACTGCCCCAGTATGAAGGACAGCTATGGGTCCTGGATTATCTAATCTTATTGGACCCTAACTCACTGATCCTCCCTCACAGAAATACCTCAATCCTTGACTCCCCGAGGAACCCAATCAACCCCAAATCTGATTTGCCATTGAACTTAAAGGATAAAAAGAAAACCTAAAACACTTCTAGGCAGAAAAAAGATGTTATTTACAATGGGAAGGGATCACAATGGCACTAGCCTGCTTATTTGCAACAATAGGAGCCATATTAGAACACAACTATGCATTAGAGAGAAAATGACTGAGATCCAAGAATTTAAAATCCACCCTTGACCGATACCATTCTTCTGTCAGAGCAAAAGACAATTTTGAGATGTAAAAGCATTTATAGCATAATATGCCAATATTCCTATCTCAGGAAAATACTCAAGGGAATAGTCTAACCAATTATAAACTGAATAGTTAGAGAAACCTCAAAATCAAAGGAAAGCAATTTTGAGAAACGATCCTTGCAATTGATATACAGTTATATCTGAATAGAGAAGAATAATGTAATTGGGCATTTGAACTAAATAAGATTATTACTATTACTAAGTGGAAAATGGTTATATCCTGGGAAAATCTACTGAGTGAAATGAGAAGGCAAATTATGCATCTCTATTACTTGATCCAAATGATATTGGACATTGTTTGGATCTAATAATAAAGAAAATAAAGACAATCATATTTGTAGGGAAGGTGAAGGTAGCTACTAGCAGTAATTCATAAAAATAATAAAAACTTCAAATATTGGAATTCTAAAATAATAAAAACCAGAGGGGAATTAAGAGACATGTGACTAAACCAGCAAAAATTGGAAAAGAAAAAGTTGGGAAATATCAACCAAGTAAAATAAACAGTAAACATAAAATAATAGGAGGCATGAAACTGAATATATTATAATTCAACTAAATTGAACGACCTGAACTCTGTTATAAACAATAAAGACTATGGAATTGTGTTAAAAAAACAAAATGTAGTCTCTATACATCTAAAACAAAAAAGCAAGATGTGAAATAAAGCATTGGACAGAAATATGCCATGTTATTTATCATTCTTTCCGTTATGGTCAGCACTCACTATGTCTTAGGAAATCTTTGCCTACCTCAGTGTCATAAAGATTTTTAATGTGTTCTTCTAAAAGTTTTTTATTTTATTTTATTGGGGAACTGGGGAAGGGGATCATTGTGTTTTTCCAGGACCCATCAGCTACAAGTCAAGTTGTTGTCCTTCAATCTTTTTTTTTTAAAATTTTTATTGGGGAATTAGGGGATGGGAACAGAGCTGGGGAATTGGGGGAAAGGGAACAGACAAGTTGCTGTCGTTTTGTTCTTCAGTCTAGTTGTGGACGACGTTGCTTCACTGGCCCAAGTTGGCACCATCATTGCGCTCTTCCCGGGCAAGGCAGATCAGTCGCCGGCTTATGGACAGCCACTCATCGCAGCTGCTGGCCGCTCATGCTGGCTGCTGGCTACATACGGTAGCTCATGGCAACCCACTGCTACAGGGGCTGCAGCCTACGCCGTTGCCAGCGACTCACGGCAGCCCAGCTGCAGGTTGAGCTGTTGTTCAGCATCTTAGCTGTGGAGGGCAGTGTCACTGGCCCTCATATGTGGGATCCGATCTGGGGCCCTCTGGCATCCCAAGCCAGTTCTTAACCATCGCGCCACTCGGCCGTCCCTAAAATGTTTTAATTTTGTATATTGTAAAATTCCACTAAATCATCTTTAAAATCCCTTTTTAAAAAGTTAGTTTTACAAAAAGAACAATAGAATAAACAAACCTCTAGTAAGACTGATGAAGAAAAAAATCAGAGAAGAGATACTAATATCAGAAATGAAACAGGGCATATCATTATAGATCCTACAGATCTCAAAAGGATAATAAGGACATACAGTGAACAATTCTGCATACATAAATTTGACAACTTAGGTGAAATGGACCAATTTCTCAAAATGTACGAACTACCACAACTCTTCCAATATGAATAGCCTCATAACTATTGGGTTGTCAGAAAAGTCATGACATATTTTTTTGTTTTTCGATGCAAAAATGTGTCATGACTTTTCCGACAACCCAATATTAAGGAAACTGAACTCACAATTTAAAAAAACAACTCCTGAAATAGAAGTCTCTATGCCCAAATGGTTTCACTGGGAGATTTCCACAAATCTTTCAAGAAGAATTAACACTAACCCTACACTATCTCTTTCAGGAAATAGAAGAGGGTATTTTTCCTAATTCATTCCATGAAGCCTGATACCAAAACTAGACAAAGATAGTACCAAAAAAGAAAACTAGAGACCAAGATCCCTCATGAACATAGATGCAAAAATTCTTAACAAAATATTAGTAAATATAATTCAGCAATATATAAAAATAATTATACACCATGACCAAGGGGGTTTATTCCAAGAATGCAAGACTGGTTTAATATTTGAAAATCAAACAGTGTAATTCACCATATTAACAGGCTAAAGAAGAAAAATCACATGATCATATCAATTGATGAAGAGAAAAGGTTTTGACAAAATACAACACCCATTCATGATAAAAACTCAAGGAAACTTGGAATAGAGGGAAACTTTGTCAATTTTATTTTTTAAAAATCTACAAAAATCCTACAACTAACATCATACTTAATAGTGAGAGTTAATGTTTTCCCTTTAAGATCTGGAACAAGGCAAGTGTGTCGATTATAACTACGCTTATTCAACATAATAGTGGAAATTCTAGCCAGTACGATGAGGCAAGAAAACAAAATTAAAGGCATACAAATTGAAAGGAAAAATAAAACTATCCCTATTTGCATATGATATGATAGTCTACAAGAAAATCTCAAGAAACCTATAAAAAACTTCTGGAAGTAATAAGTGACTTTAGCAAGGTTACAGGATACAACACCCAAAAATCAGTTGTATTTTTATATGCTAGCAATGAACATGAGGAAACAAATTGAAAATACAATCTTTACATCACTCAGAAAATGAACTATTTAGGTGTCACGTCCAGCGTGGCAAGGGCATACAGGTTTCTCTTAAGGGGCGACGCAGATTGAATAAGAGCAAGAGACAAAAGTAAGATTAAGAGCGAGACCAAAGGACTCAGCCAGAGAAGACTGAGTGAGCCCAGAATCGGGTCAGCGCATGGCTTTTATTGAGAAATTTGAAAAGAAGTGAAACTGTTTTACTGCTGTCAATCAATT